ACAGTCGATGCTCACGTAGTCTGGCCCAGGTTGTGTGGAGTGAGCGGGTTAGTAACTTAGAAGTAAGCCGTCGGATGTTTGGGAATGCATTGAACAAGAATTCGTTATCGCATCGAATCCAGCTCCTAGGCTCCGTTGGTTAAGGCACGTTTTGCGTGTGTCCAAAGGTCGCCTGCCGCAGTGTACTTTATTCGTAGTGGCTGTTACAGGCTGGAGAAAGCCACGTGGAGGCCAGCAGATGATGTGGAGACGAGGCATGAGGAAATGCGCAGAGCGATTAGGTAGAGTAGGTGTCTCTCGTCTTCCCGGTTGGGATCGAAAAGACTTTGTAACCGCATGGTTGGAGAAACTGAAGGTCATGGCTGCGAACCGACAGCAATAGCGATCATGCTATCACTTCTTATCAGACCAGAATACTTGAAATTGTGTGTATGCACAATTGGACTGTGTACTCTGTGCGTTCACCATAGAGGTTCGCTTTCTTTTCCCATCCCTAAAGTTGATTCCAATCCCCATCCTCCTTACACATTCTCACTTACCTTGTATGCATTATGGGTTTGGCAGGAATCAGTGAAGTTTGCCTCATTGTATTACGCTGTACAGTGATGATGATGATTATGATGATACTAGTTGTTTTGCTGCATTGCGTAGGAAGTTAACTCACAATATCCATTTTTACTGACCAATAATAATTTATGTTTTGGAACTCAAACACGACGTTTATTTTCAGCTCATTCATGTATTAAAATCAGCTCATCCTAGCAGTTCTGATGTAAAATACATCAAGCTAAGAAGTAAGTTAACAGATTTTCTAAGTTTAGCAAATTTCTATTCCTGCTGCATTTTCGCTGGTTCGTGAATAGAAGTAACTATTTTCCTATGAGTTTACTCGTGAGTTTTTCTTACCCTAATTATGGCGTATTCATACTTTAACACCCACCAGGCACCTCTTGCGTTTGGACTCCTTCCGTGAACTTCGAGGAACATCTATTTTATTTCTATTGCCAGTTTATTAATTTATTTTCGAGTTATGAAGAGATCGATGGCCTCTGTTGAATTCTAACCATTGAATGGGCGACTCTTGCAGTTTCCAACAGTGCACGCTTATCAGCTGAGCTATAGGCCGATACGCACAACTTTAACCTTTTCGCATTTTATCACTCATCTAACAGATTCAACTCTTTTTCATGGTGATTCATCAAAATATTTGATGGCAACCAACTAAACTTACAATTAAATGACTGTCAAAATTTGGCGCTATCCGTGATTCATCGTCCCCCTCTCCGGCCTCCATTTACACATAATTGATAGTGCAATTTGTTTTCAAACATTTCTCGGGAAACAGACTTGTGGCTTAGTTGATGCTTAGTTTGGGGAGCATGTCAAAGTATATAACATCTTTCGGAGTTCCTGGTTTGACCAAATTTTCACTGACACCATAATACTATAAGTGCCGCGATAACAACAAAAATGGCTTATTCACCCTTGGCAATGGATGTACGTGACTTGTTTCGTCTACTGTTACACTCCGAGTTCCCATATGAGTTATTGGGCTATCAATAAGCTGTCGATGTCAACTGATGCTCAGAGATTGTTACGCCACGGTAATTTGTTTTTCTTGGACGACAATGACAGTCGAAACACAATGTCTACTGCATTCAGACAATCGCTCATGATTGTCTTAGTTTGTCCATTCTCTATCTTAATCATAGTTGTTGTGACAAACATTCAGTTGCCATCCGTTCCGTTGCACGTGGGTTGATTCAGATTTTCAGAGACACCGTAAGGGTTACCCGACTAGTGTGGTTGTGATAAAAATAAGGGACTAACAACTTTTAGGAGTAATGTGGAATCCAATTTTCAGGCATTCCAAACGTTTTGATAGGCAAATTCAAGGAAGAAACTGACTACACAGAGTGATTGATGATAATACTTGTCTTTTATGTGTTGTTTCCGGTCGTTTTAATAACATATCCTTACTATCCCTTCTCCCGCTTAAGATCGATGGTTAAATTCCATTCATTTATTTTCAAAATGGGAAAGCATCTTTTTGAATGCCTTTAAACTTGCATATACTCGTGAATATTGATGGAGGCAAATGATGATTAACATGGGTAAATGATTTTCCCAACCCCTTTTATGTCGTTGCTTCATTTTTCTCCGTGTTTTGATAATTTTTTGGTCCACACCGTATTTCATTTGAACGTTTCTGTGTTTTATTTTTCAAATGAACGGTTTTAGTCACCAATCCGATTTTAACTCGTTACATATACCATCCTGAGTGAACTTAAGGAATCGAAGAAATATAGATACTATAGTGGAGAACGGACAAGAGAAAGTAATCAACGGAGAGACCGTATTACCCTACAAGGAACGCAGTTATAAGGGCAATGATTAAGACGCTCGGTCCTGAATTCTCTGAAAAACAATAGAAAAATCTTGCACACTGGATTATGCTATATAGATTTGGATCGACTTTTAGCCTGCAACATTCTAAATTCTTAACCGTCGTACCCATTAACGTGGTAGCAACTGTTTACTTTCTTTATATTTTGATTACAATGGAATGAAAAAATAACAAGGACAATTTAGAACTATTACGCTATATCATTTTTGATGTACATCACAGTCAATATTATATCCTAGTAGTGATAAACTGATAAGTGCTGGTCAAGTACTTCTGACTGATGTATTTACCTTTCCCACCTACTCCAGAAACTGGCACACACAATATATCAAAAAGTAAGGTGAAATAAACAAAAAGTTGTTATTCTTGTTATCCACGGTAGTTGTTGGACCTCTATTTCACTTTGTTCTGTTTCTCAACCCCTCCATCCTCCGTTATTCTTATTGTTGTTGTGTTGGCACCATACTTGTTCACAAGCCGATGATATATATGCATATACCTATTCCCCTTGTTGTAACCATATTTCAACCATCTCCATACCTTTTCAATTTGAGTTGTCTCGGTATGCGTCTAAGGTATCTCGGTGATACGTGATTGAATCATGACCTGGGGTGAATGCATGAAAATTAAGACTAATAATATGCGGTCGGTTAGGCTTCCCTATCACGGGCCGTAGGATTTCCTAATCGTCGGTAAAAAAAACACTAATCGATTGAGCTGAATGTCCTCGTTCATGAGCCTGCCCCTCGCTACTCTCCCCCTCTTCGACTTCTACTTTTTCTTCCTTTTTTTGCTAAACGAGCTTAGATTTCCAAAAGCTTTCACGTTAAACGAAGTCATTGGATTTGGATTTCTAGAAGGGAAACTTATACCACAATTAATTTGTTTGATTGATGTTTATTTATTGCCATTAGAACAGAAGTGATTTAACGTAGTTTTTCACAAATCCATCCAGATTTTCCATCGCACTATAGGAAACCATATGTACCTGGCTTAATTTGGATCCTTTAAACGCTTGTTTTTATTTACTCAAGGTGTCAAATTGCCCAATAGCATGCATTCCTTCGATTTCTGAATTGGTTGGTTTGGTAGGATTCTCTCTAGGAATTGAACACCTTTGACGAACGTTATTTCCTGTCTTCTTTTATACGATTCCGCCATATTGAACTCTTCCCCATTGACGAAACGCGCTGGTTTTATGACAGTCTGCTTCGTTCAATTTTTCCTACTCAGCGATTCCGAACTTCCCCCACTGGTCAAATGGAGGAGTCTGGTCTCCCATCTGTTCCCGTTTGCTCATATTTGCCGGACGGTTTATCCTCAAAATTGTTCAATTTGTTGGATCCAGTCTACTCAGAGCATCAAAACCTTCTGGCTACTCTAGAAGCTCGTTTGACCTCGTGGAATGACAAACGGAATAAGAAAACTTCCGATGAGTCGACTGCATCCATCCCACCCAACGGTGAACTGCCCGAATCGACTGAAATTGTGTACCGCGTTGGAGATCTGTTTGTGGAAAATTTACGAATGTTACCGGTACGTTTGTTTTGAGGTGTTCCCATACTTGGCTTAAGTCAAAGGATTTTTTTAATACGACCAACTCACTTTCCCCACCTTTCATATAGGGAGTAGGAAATCAATTGGTATAAACTGTCAACCATTGGTCTCTTAAGTTTTGTGCTTTTCTACCCATCTTTGACTCTGTGCTTCTGTCTCTCTTTCGAAACTCATTTTTCATCCTGTTCTCCTTCTGCAACGGACGCTTTACCCTCTTGATTGGTGTATGCATATACCCTTATGTTTAGTCCGCGTTTGACTTACTTCCGTTCGCAACCTTCCCGAACATTAATTCCTATCGCATAGAACCGTATGATGTAACTTGTAATTTTTCGGTCGATGGATAAATGACTGGAGACGTACTTGTTCGCCAGTGAGCTTCTCCTACACTTTGCACCAAGGATACAGTTGAATTATTATCAATAATTCAAAGAAAATATTTCTGACGTAAACTCCTCGGTTTGGTCGGTTTCGCTTACCCCATTATAGCATTAATAATCATATATATATTTACCTAGTTATGTTAAATACCGATTATTCATCCCACTGCAGTTCTGTGCTCCAGCAATGCACGTCACCAATTTATCATACCA